TTTGTGTTATTAGGCAGGTTTAATGCATGTCTGTGGAGCTGCATATCCAGCAGAGCATGTTCTTAAAGCTGCCTTTCCTACACACTTCTCTGCTATTATTTAATCATTTCTTAACTAATGTGCTGTGAGTCTTCATGAGTTATTTTGTGTTTGGAATTGTTAGTAGGGTTAATGCATGTTCTGCTTGTTTGTGTGATTTTGTATGTTTCTATTTTCGCAGTGTTTCAGACTCCTTCACAATTTTCCAACTTAAGCAGTCAGTTTTGTTTTCTCCAGCTTTGCTAACCCAAATTTTGATTTCCCACATTAAATAACAGCATTCCTCTGTGTTCTCACCACTCCTCTCTGTCGTCTGTTGTCCTCTCCCACTTCAACAGTCTCGGCAGTTCTCCTTCAGCTTTGTCCCGTGTCCCACTGTCTCTTCTTGCCATTTTACTCCACAGGTGGCAAATGTCAAACTCCAACTGTTCAGTTCTCCTCAAACGTTTTCTTCACATGCACAGTGAAGTTTCAGCTTGTTGTAGACACAGTGCCATTCATCCGATCAGTCAGGATGATGGGTTTGCTCTTCTTCTCTGATGCTGTTTGTCCACATTGCTGCTGTTTGCTGGGACTCTTTGCTCAGGACTTGCTGCTGTCTCTTTATCATGTTATTGCTTTGGAGCTGCATTCTTCAGGGAGGAGTGAGCACTTGCTTGTGAGGTTGAGAGACACATACACATTGCGCTGTAAATAAGTCAGCCAGAAACTTGGCCTGCATGTTTCCAATGATGTTAAACTATAACTTTCTTCCGACTGCTGCATGTGGAAAATTGATTCAGGTCTGCTTTTCACCTGAAAGTGACTAGCTAAGACATGTTCATTATTCTCATCACTGCTTAATCAACACACATCTCTCTCTCTCTCTCTCTCTCTCTCTCTCTCTCTCTCTCTCTCTCTCTCTCTGTTTTTGTGAACAATCCTTTCTTAAAAGCATAAAATGAAAGTGTAGTTGTTTTTTGGCTGATCAACACAAAACCTTTTCCCTATGATTTATTTTTCATCAACAATATAAATTCTTTCTCAGAGGCAATTACTTTTACACAGCGCACAGAAACACTGAGGTCAAACACATTCACACTCACTTTGTCAGCTGCATAAATAAATCACGTGGCTGGTGATATGTGCCATGGTAATCCATAAGCATGATCACACGTTTATTTAATTATTTTCGACCCAACAAAACAAATAAACAAAAACATGATGCTGATGCTACACACACGAGTCAAGGTGCAGGAAAACTGCTCACGGGAACGCTGCACACTCATAGCTCTGTTTCCCTCTCTTTGAGTAGTTCTCAGACAGCTCTTGATCTGATAATGTGTAGCTTGCTCATCAGCTCAAAGGAAAAAAAACCGCAACGCAACATCACGCAGTAGTTGCATGCTCTGCCCACAGTGGCAAAGTCTTACACTTTCATATTCAATACAGCTTCTCCATCATGTACCTTTAGATGTTTCATACAGGGTTCAGCATATTAGTTGTGTTCACAGGTGTGCTCTATATCTCAACAATGGCTCATAATAAGACGACAGTCTTTCACACAGGTCAAGTGCCTCTATGCACTTCATTAGTTTAAATATTTATCTATAACACTTCACCTCATATGTCATTTTACAAAATTTGAGCAACCACAAGCTTAATGTAGATTACTTTTAACAACTATCCACCTCAATTACGTCTATGGTCTGGCACACAGGCCGCTGTCGAACAGGGCAAGCCAAAGAATAAACATTTTGTGTCAGCAAGGGGTGGGGGGAAAGCCATCCACCAGAGCATATCTCAAGTGCTGCTGATGTGGGCTGGCCTTTTCCACACACTCCCGGCTGCTTAGGAAACCATGATAACAACAACAACAGTCGGTGTCACAGACCACGTGTTCTGCTCCGCACACACTCACACACGACGACAATGACAACAACACAAAATAGGCCTACTGTCCAGCACAATCTGGACCCCGCGGAACTTCTCAACACCCCACTGAGCGGTGGAGAACTCACTACAGTACCCCACACAGCGGTCTGTATTTTTCCCCACTAAGACGGCGAACAAAAAAAAAGTTCGAACTGCGCAACTCTGCGACTTAATGCTTCTGTACAAAAAAACCCCACTGAGCGGCTTTGTACATCGCCCCACTTAGACGGCGAATTTTATCCCCACTGAGCGGCCACGGACAACGCCCCACTGAGCGGCGAAGATGTACAGTTATAGAGTTGGACTCTAAACTTACTCGGTGTTGCTTAGCGTGTAATATCAGCCTCAAATCCCGCCGATCGTCATTCATCGAGGAGAAAAGACAGACAGTGAATCCACAGGAACTTCCTGGCTGACGTCAGTCTGTCAACGTGTCCCTCCTCCCCTC